GGTCCTGTGTGCCCCTGCAGGACAGACACAGCCCCGAGCTGCACGTCCAGCTCCTCATGCTGGAACAATTAATTATTGCTGAGTTCCTGGGGGATGTGCTCCCTGCTGGAGAGGTGCTGGGTGCTGACCCCAGGGCAGTGACTCCACTGCAGCAGTTTCTAGAAAGGAGAAGAATCTGTTCTCTCTCTGCAGAGACACTCGCTGATTTAGTGACTTTAGAAGATGTTGGCTCTAATTAATGTGTTGGGAGCTGGGAGCCAGCTCAAGGTAGCACTTGAGCACCTCCTAAATTGGTCAAGACAGGTTCTACTGAGTCCTTAATTTGATCTTCCTAGTGTGTATTAAAAGCAGTCACACCTTGATTCCACCAGACCCTTCTGGCACATCACTTCCAAAGGATTCCTGAAAAAGGCTCGCCTCTCTCACCCAAAAAAGCTGCTCTGTGCACTCAGGCTTGTGTTCACCTGGGAATTACAGGAGTCACCCATGGCTTATTCTTTGTGGCCCTGCTTGATGCCAGGAGGGCACACCTCGTGTTTTCTGCTTTTCGGTGGTCACTAATTTATCCTGGCTGGAAGCTGGCTGTAGATTCCAGCTGGGCAGCCAGCTCTGGTGTCCCCAGTTTCTGTTGCAGGGAGGGAAGGCAGGCAGGACCTCGGGGAAGTGGAGTGGGAAAAGGTGTTGGACACAGCCAGGCTTAATGAATCCACAGCCAGGTTAATGAATCTGCTCAGCATCTCCTGATGCAGCGAGGTTTCCTCAGCAGTGGGCAGAGAGGGATAAAGGTTTCAGGAAAAATGGAAATCTGGTGGGTGCCTGACAATGCTGATCTCTTTCACACCAGTTACAAATTAGCAATAAATAACCTCTGAGGAGAGAGGAACAGGCAAGGGAAAAAGATGAATTTTTAATTCCAGTGTGCACAAAGAATGGTTAATGCAGAGAGGAGGACAGGGAGCTGCCCAGCGACTGGAGCTGCAAAGAAGGCAGCTCTTGCCTTGGGAAAGGGCCAGAGAACTGTTATTTCTTTGAAACTTAAGGTTTATTCCATTGGTGATTTCTGTAAGGGATTTTTTTGCACCATGGAGGCATGGTGCTAAACTTGTTTTCCAAAATCTTTGCAGAGAAGGGCAATCTCTTGCCTCTTATGGGGACTGGACACTGAAGGGGGTAGGTACTAAAAAATTGTTGTTGGTTTTAATGGCAATAGATTTGTGCCCTTATTATTTAGGAGAAAGGAGCAGCTGGTTTAGAACTGGAGTCCTTGCCTCCCAGATAAAAGTTCCTTCACTCCTTCCCAACAGACATTTAATTCCTCCAGGTTTTTTGAGTTCTGATCTACTCAGGTTATGGAGCTGCACAGGGCGCTGGCATGGGAGGCATTTTGTGAAAATGGTTGGGTAAGGAGAGTTTCTCAGTCCACTGGAGGCAGCCAGAACCCTTCAGAAGGGAGGGGGACACGCCGTGGGTGAGCCCACAGCACCGTGACACTTCTCCCCAGAAAGGCAGGAGAAGCTCCAGGTTCCATCTCCACTCCAGCAAAAGGCAGAGTTCCGCAGCACCAGGATTAAAAGGTGAACAGCGTTCCTGGGAAAGCATTTTTTCAGAGGCAAAGCCCTTTGCAGTGTCCTTCCCTTCCCCGACAGGCAGGTGTGCCCTCCCCCAGTGCTGGGCTGTCAGAACATCTCTGCTAATGAAGCAGTCTGGCCCGAGGCTGCTCTCACTGCACTCCCCATCCTGCCACGGAGCTGCAGGAGGAGAGGACAAAGCCAGGGAATCCTGGCTCTGCCACCAAGGGATGGGTCTGGCTGCCCCAGGAGGTGCTGCTGTGGCTCTCTGGTCTCCTCCCAGGGCAGCCACTTGCCAGGGAGAGGGTTGGCTTATGCAGGAATCTGTTTATGGATGGATCCAGGAGCTCTGGGTGGAATCTGTGCTGGATCCTGTAGGGACACGAGCTCTGGATGGAATCTGTGCTGGATTCTGAAGCACAGGAGCTCTGGATCCCTTTCTGATCTGACAGGTAGCTGGGTTCCTCTCTCCTCCCAGCCTCAACCTGTCTTTCCTGTATCTGCAATGAGGGCCTGCATCTGCAGTCAGGTTTTAAAACAGCTCAAAGGACCTTTGATGTGAGTTAGAAACTCAGAGGTTTGCTGAAACACATGTAAATGCAGGTTTCCCTTCTTTTATTGGTTTAATAGTGGAGGAATATCCAGGATAAGTAATTTGTCCCTGAAACTGGTGATAGGATGCGGAGAAAAATCTTTTTCTCTTAAGTTTAAGAGCTGTTCTTGAAGCATTATCTCCACTTAGAAAACACTTTCTGGCACAGGTAACTCTTGGCAGTTGTTGACACATTTGACCTGAGAGAAAGGTTTTGTTTCAATCCGAGGTGATGTATCCCAGAGGTGGGGAACTGAATGTTGAAAAATGATCACTATTTCCTCTGTTTGCTGTGGCAGTGCCTCTGTGAGCAAATTGGGAATCGTGCTTTCACTTTGCCGGGCGCCCTGAAACACACACACAACAAAAAGCCACGGAGATTGCTGCCCCCAGCCTGGGAAACCTGTTCCAGTGCTCCGGGGGGGTTTGCAGAGCATACCTGGCTCCCCTCTAGCCACATGTGCAGGATTTGCGTGGCGCTCTCTGATCTGCTCTCCAGTGGTGAATCTGTTTACACTAATCCCAAAAGCTCTGCTATTAAAGAGGCTGGGGCTGAACAACCCCAGGCTCTGCTGCTGAGCTCAGCCAGCCAGAGCTCTCGCTCTTCGCTGCCCCAGGACTCCGTGGTGGCTCCAGTGCATGGAGGAGGCTGCTGGGATCAGTCTGTGCCTCTCGCACCCCCGAGATCTGCCGAGCATCCTCCCCGTGTGAGAAAGGTTCCTGCAGGATCGGCCACGCCTGTCCTGCTCTCCTGAGACCTCTCCTGGAGGAAACACGGAGCCTTCCCCTGGAGGAGGCTGTGGCCAAGCCGTCCCTGCACTTGGAGCTGGAAGAGAAATAACCCTGGAAGCTTTGAGAGATAATCCCCACTCCCTTAGAAAAAGTGAAAGGAAATCGGGCCAGGAAGTCAAGTTCCAAAGAAGATGGAGTCCAGGGAAGTCTGAAGAGGGACCCAAGGCTCTCAAGAACCCAGAGCAGTTGGATGTGCCAGGAATGAAGGTTTCTGGGAGCTAAGAGGGAGCCCCTCTGCCCTCCATCCAGAATCCTCTGACTGCCACAGAAATGTCTGTCTCCCACAGCCTCTTCCAAGCATTTTCCTTGGATCATTAGGTGATAATAGAAAGTGATTTTTCCCCTGTCATCTTGAGCAATCAGAAGCATTAAGAATAAGAGCCTAAGCCTGAAAGCCTAAATGAGAGGGTTTGATGGGTCTGTGGATCTGCCTCCTTCATTAGAGCCAGAAGCAAAGATGGATCCCAGAGCTGGAGTTCCTTGAGGATAAAATGGCAAGAAACACGGATTGTGGTCAGGTAGCTCAGAAACGACCCTGCCAGCTCTGCCCGTGGCTGATGTCACACAGCAAAGCCACTTCTCACTGTCTGGCAGGCAAGGTCAATCTGCCCCCACCTCGCCCTGCAGGAAGGCAAGTCAGGGGACACAGCGTGGGACAAAGCTGGGGACTTTGTGTTGTTCTGGGAGCTCTGAGGCAGAGCTCACAGAAATCTCACTGTTCTGCCACGTGGTGGACACTTGTGGGCCACATTTCTTGTCCCGTGTTTGGGGGATAATTTGCTTTTGTTCCTCTCCTGGGTAGGATTCTTCCTGCCCAGTCGATCCCACATTGGCATCCAAAGGCAGGGAACTCCATCTTGCTGAGGTGACACATCCCTGTACCAACCACACAACTTCATTTTGGGCCACCTCGTCCTCTGGGGGCAGTTCCACATGGACCTCGTGCTGTGTCTGCCACAGCTTGTGACAGAAACTCACCCTGTGTGTCCTAAGCCTCCATCCATCCATCCATCCATCCATCCATCCATCCATCCATCCATCCATCCATCCATCCATCCATCCATCCATCCATCCATCCATCCATCCATCCCTCCCTCCCTCCATGGAACAGGGAAGGCTGGAGCCGGGTCCCAGCTGCCAGGGACTGCGGGCACGCAGCTCGGGGGTGCGGAGGGCCGGGCAGCAGCGGCTGGGTGCCCCCGGTGCCCCGGGCAGGCGGCAGCCGGCGCTGGCCCCGCCGTCCGTCGCTCACCCCCTCGCCGCCGCCGGCGCGGCGCTTCCCAGCGCCTCCGCTCTTTAAATGGGCCAAGTTGGAGAAGCGGCGGCGGCGGCGGCGGCGGAGGGAAATCTTGTTTGGTCGGAGTCTCCGAAGTGTGCGGTGACTTCTGAGCACCGATCAATACGTGTCTGTCCCGGCTCGGGGCCCGGCCCGGCGCTCGGGGGCTGCGGGCGGCGGGGGAGCGCAGGGCCGGCGGGGATGGCACTCTAGATGTCCGCGTGTCTGTGCGTGTGTAGCTGTGCTTGTATTTATATATATATATATATATATATATATACACAGAGGGTGTAAGGAGCGTAACACCGCCTTTCTTAAAATTTCCCGCAGGAGTGGGGATTAAAGCCCAGCTGGCGGGGATCAGAAAGGCTTCGGTGGGAGCGGGGCGAGTCTGCAGCGCGCAGGTGAAGGTGGGCGGCCCCGGGGAAAGTTCGCCGCCGCCGCCCGGGTGTCTGGAGCCCCGCGGGCAGAGCCGGCACCGGCCGGGGCTCCGTCCTCCGGCGGGCGCCGGCGGGGCGGGGAGGGGTCGCGGAGCGGCGGCGGGGGCGCAGCGTTTAATTTTAATTATTGCATATAAATAAATAAACCAGGTGTCAGTTTAAAGGAAGCAGGGGGGCAGGGTGAAAGGGGGCTGGCTGGCTAGGCGGCGGGGAACCCTCCAGCCTGGCGAGAAGGTGGGTTGATCTAGGGGAATCAATAAGCTTTTTTTTTTTTTTTTTTTTTTTTTTTTTTAAACCAAAATAATGTCTACGGCAGCAGAGACCTCTCCGAGATGTCAGGTATTAGTCCGGAGGGGCAGATCTGCGAGGCACACAGCAGCTCCCGGGTCTACGGTACATTAGGCTCTCCGTGGGAGAGGGATCCCAGACAGCTCTGCTGGGGAGCCAGCCCAGGAGATTTGTTAGCGGGCTGCTCCGGGGGATACCAGCCACCTCCGGCACCCGAGCGCCAAAGGTGCTTGTGCTGCTGCTGCTGCTGCTGCTGGCGCATTTCATCCAAACTCCAGCCAGAGCCAGGGCAACTTGAACCGGAGACATTGGAGCCGCTGTGCTTCGGAGAGACGAGGGCGCACGGGGAGCGCGGCGGCACCATGCCTGCTATCAAGAAGGAGCGACTTGACAGGGAAGAGATGGCCCTGGCAGCTTTTAACCAGCCCATGGAAACCTTACCGGACTACCTCGCGCCTCTGGCCGCCGCTGCCATTCCGGTGGTCACCCCGCACCCGCCGGCTTACGACCAGATCTTCGCCCACCGCGCGTACCTGGGCTTCCAGGAGCCCCACCACCCCCACCCGCACCACCCCCACCACCTCCCCGAGGACCTGATGCTGGAGAGGTTTTCCTCCATCCCGGATTTCCAGCCCTTCTTTGACAACGGAGAGCCTTGCATCGAGGTGGAGTGCGGGGAGAACAAGGCGCTGCTCTACATCAATAAGTTGTGCCAAGGGAGCAAAGGACCCTCTATCCGGTACCGGGGAGAGTGGCTCACGCCCAACGAGTTCCAGTTCGTCAGCGGCAGAGAGACGGCCAAGGACTGGAAGCGCAGCATCAGGCACAAAGGTAAAGGCAGCGCTCGCCGCGTGCGGGGTCCCCGCTCCTCCTCGCATCCTCCCTCTCCCCCGTGCCCGGGCAGAGCCGAGCCCGCGGGGCAGAGCCGAGCCCGCGGGGCAGAGCCGAGCCCGCGGGGCACAGCCGAGCCCGCGGGGCACAGCCGAGCCGCCCTCCCCGCGCCCCCGGCCCCTCTCTGCCGGATCCCCGCGCCCCGGTACCGCCGAACTTTTCCGAGCGCTTTGGGAGCGGCTGCCTTTGGTGAGGGGGGGGGTTTGGGAAGCGGGGGGATACTTGGGGGGCTCCTCTCCGCCGGAGAGAAGTTCCGTGGGGCGCGGGCGGGGACCTGACCCCGGGCGGGAGCGCGGGGCTCGGGGCGGCAGCGCGGCCGGGCCGGCACCGGCGGGGCGGCGGGCGGGGCGGAGGGGGTGTTCCCCTCGCAGCTGGGTGGTGCGGGACCTCCGCCGCGCCGGCGGCTCTGACGGGCGCCTGCCCTGCCTCCCTCCCTCCCTCCCCGCCCGAGCCGGCGCCGCAGTCGCTCTCCGCGGCGGAGCTGCTGCTGCTGCGGGCGGCAGGTGGGGAGCGGGGCCGGGCGGCGATTAGGGGCGGCTGACGCCTCGCCTCGTTATTGAGCGGGGCTGCTTTGCGGCCGGGCTCCGCTGCCCTGGGGAAGCCTCCGTCGCTCCGCGGTGAGTCCGGAGGAGCTGCGGGAGCTGCCCGGGGCCGTGCCCGGAGCGGGGGCGGCGGGAGCGGCTCCGAGCCCGGCGGCACCGCGGGGGCTGTGCCCGGCTCCCCTCCGCCGGGACCTGCGGGGCAGAACTTGGCTGCAGGGGCAGGCGGGGTGGGCGCTGTAGGCAGGCGAGGGGAGGGCTGTTTATATGGAAGCAGACGCGTGCCTCCCCCTCCCCCCCTTCCCTAGATACTTTCCTTTTATAAGCGTGCTGATTCTTTTTCTTCTTCTTCTGCTTTTTCTTCTCTTCTGCATATAGGGAAAAGTTTGAAGACTCTTATGTCCAAAGGAATCTTACAGGTACATCCTCCAATCTGTGATTGCCCTGGGTGTCGAATTTCGTCTCCAGTGGTAAGATTATTGTTAAACTATGTGCTTTAGTTAAGACATCTTCCCTCTCCTCTGCCTCCTAACCTTAAACAAAACAAAAAAAATCCCTTTGCTTCTGTGCTCGTGGAACCGTGATCTGCGAGGGTCACGGAGGCTGCCAGAGCCCTGCCCGCACTGCTGCGGGTTCCAGCAGCGTTAGAGAGGAGCTTGGAAGCAGAGCAGACGGGAAGAGCAGCGCTTGACCTGAAGGAAGCAGCACTCGGTGGGAATTTTTGGTTTTCAGGGGGAGCTGTGTGCACGCAGAGGCAAATCATGGAGGAGCCTCTTCCGTGTTCCCACCCCTTGGTTTCTGTGCGTTGTGCACAGGTGTGAAAGTGGCTAAATAAAGCAGAAGGGAAATGTAATTGCACCCACGTGTCAGAGTCAGAGCCGGCACGGTTTATAAACCATCAGCTAGGTGAACTGCATGGGGAGCAGCTCAAATGCTGACAACTTGAGCATCGTTTGTGGCTTAGATCAGTGGTGGCTTTTATAGGTCTTCCCAACTTTTGGGTTCCTTGTGTGTTCTTGCTTTTATCCTGAGACTTCCAGAATCTCTTATCAGCATTTTTGTGGGAAAGATGTTGATGGTATAAATAAACGGTGACAGAAATCGTAGTAAAGTAAGGCCTTAAAACAGTTCATTGTGTGTGAAAGTAACCATGAAGTACAATAGCATCTAACTGGGAAGGCAGAGCTGTTGGTTTGGGAACTGAAGCCGCTCTTGGGCTGAAAGAACTTCAAACACTGCCAGTAGCGCTGTGGAAACAAATGCTGCTGGAAATTTATGTGATTTTATCCACTGGAAATCAACCGTTTTTGATTTTGTTGCTTGCTTATGCTTGAGTGGCCAGTCTGTGTTCAGAGGCAGCGTCTCTGTGATCGGAGATGACAGAGCTGGGAGCTGGCTCCTGCCTGCGTGGTGTCCCTGTGCGCGCGTGGCTGTGTCCCAGACCCCCCCATTCCCACGGGAAGGGGCTGCAGCCACCTCCCCCAGTTCCAGACCAGTGGGGAGATGTGTCCTGCCTGTGTGGTGTGGCACAGCCACCCGCAGCAGTGCCTGGCATCTGAGCCCTGGCTCCTGCAGCTCCTGCAGCTGGGACAGCGTGTGAGGTGGTGCAGGCAGCTTTCTCCAGCTGGGAGCTCTGCCTGTGTTGTCAGCTGTGCGGCTCAGAGCCCAAAATCTGCCGGTGACAGGGATGTGCTGCTGTTGTGGGGATGCTGAGAGGTGCCTGGCCAGGTGATGCTGTCTGCTGGACATTTTCTGGGCTAGCAGTAGCCAAAAGGTCGTGATGCAGTTTCCTAGCAGCAGCATTTTCAGGAGTGGTGCAGGGGTAGGTGCATTTCCAGATGGGAAGCCAGCTGTGCATGAAGCCAGTGTCTGGCACAGCCTTTGAGAACTGGGTTTGGAAAGTACAGATAGAGGGGAAAAAAGAGGTTGGTGCAGTTTTGGGCAAGGAGAAATAAATCTTTCTGGACTTGGCTCCCACTGCTTCCCCAGCTGGGAAAGGGGTTTTGGATGTCAGGATTTGCACAGCGAGGTGAGAGCCCAGGGAGGAGTTCTGTCAGGGCTGTTCCTCAGTGCTCCCTGCACTCTCTGTGCTGTACTTAGAGATGTCCCTGACCAAAGGACAGTTCCACATTTTGGACCTGAAGTCTTTGGGTAGTGCTCTGTGGTGGCTGCATCCACTGCACATCCAGAGCAGTCACACAAGGAGGGGGATTAGGAATTGGGCATGGCTTGTATTTCCCCATTTAGAGATCGCCCATTCGAGCACCGCTGAGATCCGAGGGCTGATTCTCCTGAGAAGCAGAAATGCTTTATATTTTACAGTGCAGGGGACAGAGACTTGCAGTGCCTGGTCCTCGTGTGATCCGGCGGGGGTGTGGCGATGGGAGCTGATGCTGTGTGCAGCTGGTTCCACTGCTCTGAAATCATCCCTGGGACAGCGGGAACCGGCCGGGAACACTCAAGCGGCGGCTGTGGCGGGGGCAGGCAGCCTCCCCTCGGGGTGCACAGAGCTCCGGGCGGAGCCGGCTGCCCCTGCGGGAGCGCGTCCCGGGCCAGCCCCGGGAGACGAGGGGTCGGTCTGGAGGGGAAACCGCGGCGAGCCCCCGGCCCGGGCTGAGCCCCCGGCCCGGGCTGAGCCCCCGCTGCTCTCGGTGCCCCCGGAGCCCCCGGTGCCCCCGGTGCCCCCCGGCCGCCGCCGGCGCCGCGTCCCCGCCCGGGACCGGCGGGGCCGGGGCTCGGCGCCACCGCCCGCGCCGCTGCTCGCAGCGGGGCAGACGGGGCCGGCGCCGGGCCCGCTCCGCCACCGACCGCCGGTTTCCTGGCGGCTCGGCTCGGCTCGGCTCGGCGGAGCGGCCCCGCCGGCGCCGCCGCCCCCGGGCTGCTCCGCGCGGTCAGACATCCACCCCTCCTTCCTTCCATCCCTCCTTCCTTCCACCCCTCCTTCCTTCCATCCCTCCTTCCATCCATCCATCCATCCCTCCCTCCCTCCTTCCATCCATCCCTCCTTCCATCCATCCATCCATCCCTCCCTCCTTCCATCCATCCCTCCTTCCATCCATCCCTCCTTCCTTCCATCCCTCCTTCCATCCCTTCCTCCTTCCATCCCTCCCTCCTTCCATCCCTCCCTCCTTCCATCCATCCCTCCTTCCATCCATCCCTCCTTCCTTCCATCCCTCCTTCCATCCATCCCTCCCTCCTTCCATCCATCCATCCATCCATCCATCCCTCCCTCCTTCCATCCCTCCCTCCTTCCATCCCTCCCTCCTTCCATCCATCCCTCCTTCCATCCATCCATCCATCCTTCCTTCCTTCCTTCCTCCCTTCCTCCCTTCCTCCCTTCCTCCCTCCTTCCCTCCTTCCTTCCCTCCTTCCTTCCCTCCTTCCTTCCCTCCTTCCTTCCCTCCTTCCTTCCTCCTTCCCTCCCCCACC